ACGGAGGAGGCTGCAGAGCTGGTCCCGCAGGCCCGCGGAGGAAGTGGTTAAATTCCTGCTGCTCTGTGGTGGGTACAGGGGCTCCTAATTCCTCTAATCGTGCGAGAGACGCCGGGACACAAAGGCGCCCTTTGAGGGGAGAGTAACCCAGGGCAGGGCCAGACCGCGGGCTGGGGCTTACACACACAAAGACAGGCTTCTTCCAGCTGCGCCGCCGTAATGGGATTAAGAGATTCCGCGGAGAGGGAGGGAGGGAGGGAGAGAGGGATGGATAACCTTTCCCTCCACTAGGGTGTAGGTTTCAGTGCGTTAATCTTCTCCGAGCAGCACCCTTCCACCCCGGGGAAGACGCAGGGAGGAGCGCCGAGGGCCGATCCCGCTGGGGAGCGCAAGGTCTCTGGCTGCAGTGTGCATTCCCACGGCCCTCTCCCGATCCCAGCCTGATCCCACCCTGGTCTGAACCCCGTCCCTTCCTGATCCCAGTCTGATCCCAGCCTGACCCGCACTAGGTCCCTTCCTTATCCGAACCCGGTCCCAGCTGGATCCCAGCCTGATTCCAGCTTGATCTGAACCTGATCTTAATCTAATCATAGCCTGGTCCCAGGCTGATCCCAGTCTGAGGCCAGCCCAAACCGAGTCTAATCAGATCCTGATCCGATCCCAGTCTGATCCCAGTCTGACCCGAGCTGTGCCGCTGGTGACGGTCCAGGAGGGCCTGTCCTCCCTCTGCAGGCTAAGGGGCTGCTGTGTCTCCAGGTGCTCGTCCTGTGGACTGTTACCTGGGAGACGCCCCCATCTGTCAGGGACCAGGGGCGGGGACGTTCCCAGCCGGATCTGGGCTCCTGCTCTCTTCTCCAGTGCCCCTGGAGTTGAAGGATGTTACTCAAAGCATCTGAAGTCAAATACCCGACCGGAGAGCGAGGGGTCAGGCGTCGTGCAGCCTGCCCCTGGACCGGGGGGACCCGGCTGGCCATCTTTTCGAGCGGCCCGAGGAAGAAACAGCACAGAAACAAGTCTCTGCTGCTCGTCTGTCACCCTCCTGCTCGCTTTCCGCACGCCCACCCCTCCGCTGGCAGCGCGCGATGAGGCCTTGATAAAGTCCTGGGCCCGGAGTATCACTGTCACCCAGACAAAGGGCCTCTTCATCGGGGCTGCACTCTGATAGTCCTGGGAAGAGGCCCCCGAGGCAAGACCCAGGTCGCCTCGGCAACCGCTGTTGCCATGGAAGCACCACCAGCTCTTAACAATGGCCTGTCTGTGCGAGTGAGGCCTACCTTCAGCTACATACCTCACCTACCTGCCTGTCTGCCTGAATCTCTGCCAGCCTGCCAGCGCACACATACTGGCAGCTCTGCAGCACAGCCCTCCCCCTCCCGCCCCGGTCTGTCAGTCTGATCGTTCACAGGTACGGCGGGGCTGAGGCTGAGGAGCTCCACTACCTGGCCCAGCCTGACGTTCTGCCGATTTGCAGACCAAAATGCCTC